ACTAAAATATATATATATATATATAAAAAACTGAGGAGGGTTGTACATTTACATGTGGTTATTTTGATATCTTCAGATCAAAATATTTGGGAATTTTTTTTCCAGAGTGTATTTCTGAACGTGAATTGAGGCTTTGAGCAACCTGGTCTAGTGGAAGGTGTCCTTGCCCATGGCAGGGGAGTGGAATTGGATGAACTTTAAGGTCCCTTCCAACACAAACCATTCTATGATTCTTTTATTCTCTGATGATTTCTTTTTTCTGTACTGAATCAGAATGAAAACATATTTTGGAACCATTAATATTTACTATGCAGCTGCAGTTCTGGTTTCCTGATCGCTTCTGCCCGAAGTCAAGATCATAGAGACAATGTAAAGGGAAATACAAATATGTTCTTTGGCAGAGACAGCAATACTATTCCAGCCTAGAGAAAGCAGAGGTGTAACTAGAGAAAATAGATACAAAACACATCTTCATCTCTTTCTCCTAGGTGGCTTGGGAGACGTACCATCACATCTGCCTAGTAGGTTTTTAGACACCAGCAGGAGTTACAAACAGCCTGACAAGTTGCATAACGCTATACCCTAGGACAGTACATGAACATGTACACATTCCTAGGCCATTGCAAAAGCAAACTAAAGTGTGTTAGCTAGTACAATGTAGTGTGTATTTGTGACAAGCTAAAAGGACATCTACAGGCAGTTACACCAGCTGAGTTAATACACAGTAAGTCACATTATCTCTGATCCATGTATCTAAGCTCTAAAGCTTACGTGATGTTAATTTCTGCCATCATCCATGTACCGTATCAAACCTCAAGGGATACTGGTGAGAGCAGGATCTGTTTTGATGCTTTCAAAAATAAAGGGAAAATGGGAAGGGTACAGCTACAATAAATATGTGCAAACATAATTTCCTGAGACTTTTCAGTTTACCTTGGCATGAGAAATAATAACTGAGAAATAAGTATTTCAGGGGTACATTGTCAGAACTGAGATTTTGGACTGGTGGGTGGGAAAGAAGAGCCATTAACAGCCAGCAAGGTTTGTTCATTTTTTATTATTCATCAGCTGGAAGGCTGAACTCTGTGGCTTGTTGGGAAATGCATGGGGCTAAGATAATGAAAGCAGATTGATGCTCTATGGTAAGGAAGTTCAGTATCTGCTTCTTGCAAATGAAATTCTAACATTTCTTTTGATGTTAGCAGTACTATCCCGAGAATGATCTGTGGACCGCTGAGTTGTGAAATGCGCTGTTAGGGCAGGGTCACCCTCTTCCTACCAGCTGTGCCAATCCATTCCAGCCCAGCTGCACCTGCATTTTTTACTTTTTTTTTTTTTCCTCATCCTTTACTAGCCATAGTAGTTTCTTAGTTTGATTTAGTCTACCTCAACTGTAAGTGAGTGTTGATAAAGATCAGGCAGTCTTCCAGCATAGAATCGACAAGTGTTGGTTTAATTGTGCCCTTGAGCTGGTTTTGGCTAAGGCTTGTTTCAGCCAGTTGAGATCCCTTTCATATTTCCTCACAAGATATAGCTCATGGCACCTCTTGTGCTGTCTAGTGTGTTCCATGTGTCTCACAGTTTAAGAGATCCTACAGTTTATTTGTGTGAACAAATCATCAGTTGCTTAGGATGCATCTGCCTCTAACTTGTCATTTCCTTCATTCTCTTTTGCTTTGACTTCCGTTAATATTACCAGTTTTCTGTAGCACCAATGGGGTGATAAATGTATGGTGGTCTTTTATATCATCCATTCTGCTCTCCCCCAGATTTTCCGCGTTCTTGAAAAGTGCGTTATGGAGTATAATGTGAAAAATTAAATATATGTATTACATGTAATCTATAATGGAAAAGAAGAGATACCATCAGAAAATTAGGTCTGGCAAGGACTGGCATATTGTGATTAGGATAGAGTAGGATGATCCTGAACAGTGGTGTGGAATGGACTTGGTAATTTCTCAAGGTTATTTCTAGATTGATTTCCGTTCACTCCTTGAATCCTTTTGTAATGTTCTGATTTATTTGTTACGTGCATTGGCCACTCACTGCTGCTCACGCTCATTGAAACAACATTTGAGGCACATTTAGGGGTTACTGGCAGAATTAGAGATATCACAGGAGAGTATCGCAATCACCTGACCTATCATAATGTCTTCCAAGCTGATTATAAAGTATGAAATAATCACTTCTGTCTTTATGTCCTGCTTCCCAACCCAATCTTGACATGGGCCATACTGAAATTTTAGTTGTACAGCTGTGGTCCTACATAAACAACATATAATAATCATTTAATGCTTTCAGTACACTGCTGTGACCATACATTCAGTTTTATGAGCATAGCTGGGATTTGAAAATGTGCTTTCAGAGCATGATGCTTAATTGCTTTCTCAAAAGATTGCAAAATAATCTCCAATCCCAGTCTTGGTGCCCTCGCTGAGCGGGTCTCTCTGTCAAAACACCATTTCCTTTCCTTTCTTTGACTAGATCCAAAAGCAGTTTTCCCCTTCCCTCCATCCTCTGTCAACAGAGCTTTATTTCAATCACTTCTCTTATTTACATTTTATACAGCTCATTTTAGGATAGATAATTAAGTCCTTATCTATACAAACATTCATTTTTCAGTTGATTTTTAAGCAGTGCAAACCTTCTAGACACATTTGATTTAAAGCACATTTTACTCCAGCTGAAGCCAGCTGCTAATCAATGTAAGCTAAACCAAAATAAGCCCATCCAGAACTGAAATCATAATATCTATGCAGCATTCCACATAGGCTTACCTAAATGACTTTTAAATTACGCTCTTAAATTAAAACAGTGCAACTTTCTTATGTAGGTAAACTCTTAGAATCCAATAATTTTCTGAGCAAAAGGGATTTCCTTTGTGACTGATAAAAAAAAAAAATCCCTGAAACTACTGGGGGGGAACATGGGAAGAAAGTAATTTGCTATACTGAGCCTTGTTCTTCAATTATATTACCTCCATCAGAGTATGAACAGATCTTCATATTAGATGATCATTTTACCAACACTTACTTCTCACTAGGAGGATTCTTCATCATTGTATTCCAAGATCGAGCAGCATTCAGGCTTGTCTGGGTGATATATTTTTGTCAGCATGACAAAGGTTCCCACAGTGTTTAATTACTCAGACTAGCCAGGGGAGAAAGAAAGAAATGAGCCATGCTGAATTTGCTGTGCCAGGCTTGCTGTCTGTTGCATAAGCTGGCTTCTTCCAAATGTGTGGAAGACGGGCAGCACCCAAACCTCTGTCTTCTCTTTCGGCTGGCTTTCCCTCTCCATATTTCCTGTTTGTTTTCCATTGATTGACTGTCTTTTGTCTCATGATCTTTTTGCAATTTGCTTATTTCCAGGGCAGCAGGTTCTTGGCTTGGTGGAGAACCAGAGTGACTGGTATTTGGGCAACCTTTGGAAGAATCATCGGCCCTGGCCAGCACTTGGGAGGGGCTACAACACAGGTAAGCCCTGGGGTTTTTCTCTGAGTTAACATTTCCATTGAGCATGCAGTCAGTCTCCTGCAGGAGTCTACTCCTGGAGAGAGTATGAGATGTGGTAACTTGCACCTCCCTTCCTAACCTACTGCAAAACTTGTCATTTAAAGCAATAAAAATGATACAGTGTGATGCTTTTTGGAACTTCTGGTCCTGTGCTACTCTGAGAAGAATGTATTCCTTCTCTAAGTGGTCTTTAGAGAGATTGTGTGGTATCCGTCAGGGAAGGATTGATCTTCTCAGCAGTCTGACACATTCTCAGCACATCTCCTGCAAGATGTCTGTCCATGATGAAGCTTTTGTAGGCCCCGCAAGAGGGAAAGAACAGGGATCAAGGCTCATTTATTGTAGAGAGGTAAATGATATCACAAAATGTCAGCCCAATAAAGACATAACTCCTCCAGGACAGCAACAGAGTCATAATTGTCCTAATAAAATGCAAACTACTGGCCATCAGTTTCTGCTGCTGTGAGAAGGGAATAAAGGCACCAGATCAGAGAATTTGTTAGGTTACAAGAGAGAGGTCTTCCCTCTGATTTGTGTTTAGTATGTGAGAAAACATACCAGGTGCATAAGGAACACACTCGTACATCTAAATCATTCCAATGCTGGGCTTTACATGCTGATGCAGTGAGTTAGGTTCCCTTTCTATTTGTGATAAAAGGGCAGAACAGATGGTGAAGCCTCCATTTAGAACAGATGAGTCCATTTAAGTATCTCTGCACTATCAGGAGATTATTCGCCATAACAGAGGTTTTGCTTTGCAGAAGTATATTCAATTGAATTAAACAGACTAACTAGGAAAAGGATTGCACAAGTTGTAATTGGGTCTGCTGTATTTCTATATTCCTTTGTCTATTTGGGGCAATCACACCAGTTTTTGTGAGTTCGTATTTCAGCTTCTGCAAAGCATCTCTGTTCTGTGAAAATGTTCAAAAGGATAGCCTGACAGAGTACAGATAGATATGGATACAAGATTTTGGCAAAAGAAGTTTTTGTTTCCTGGCTTTCCACTTGCCAGAGCAGAATTGGTCTGCCCACTCCTGCCCCTCGCTCTTCCAAAAGCATCAGACAGAGCCATGTTTCATGGATTTGTCCTGAAAAAGAAAAGCTTATGCTATACACAGCTAAACCTGTTGATGTCAGTTCAGTTCACTGTTATACCACAAAGCAGTATCTTTTGTTCTACTGACAGATAATCACCTTTATATGTACTTTCCTTCTGCTACATTTTTGCTTTTTCCTTTCAGACGTTTTAATGCTAGCAGAAAGTGTCACAACCACCTAACATTAGAATAACCCAGAAATGTATAGTGGGTAGTATGTAAAATGCAATTAGATAAATCAAAATGCTGTAAAGCTTTAATTTATATTGTCTTAACTTACTGTTCCAAATGGTTTATAGGGATACAAAATGTGAGAGTATCACAGAATTCTTCCACTGACAGGAAAAATAATTGAACGCCTGCAGTCCTTCAAATAAATTGCATGTGTTAATTCCTGGTATGTGTTAATACATACCTACCAAGCTATGCATAATCCTGATGATGATTTTAGTCTGCTCACAATTCCTTTCTTCAAACAACTGACCTGTAGTTATAAAAAAAATTAAAAATAAGAATAAAAAAACCCCAAAAAACAACCCAGAAGGTAGATAATGAATGAAAGATTGACAAGTGATCATAAGAAGTGGAATATTTTTTCAAGTACATGTGACAAGAGGTCACTGAGTAAAACAGTTCAAGTTCTGAGAAGCAGCAAATGATGTTATTGACAGAATCAGCATCATTTACTGTAATTTTCTTAATTGAATTTATTGTTTACCTCAGTAATCTAGCAGAGATTAGAGGTATAAATATTTCAAGGAAGATGAAATATGAAGTGAAACCGAAGCTTGTTTGATGTGTTCAGTAAATTAAAATAATTGCCAGTGAATGCAACACTTGGCCAAGGAGGATTCAGAAAAGTAAGGGTGAGGGAAGGAGAGGGCAGGAAAGAGAGACTGTAACTCTAAGCAAAACACTCATGAAAGGCAGTGGGCTGGGAAAGGAAAGACTCAGAAATTCAGGTGCTTAGAGCTGTACTTAGGAACAGTAAAACCTGGAACTTTAATGAGCTAAACAAAACTGGATCAGACAGATTTTGCTTTTGGTCTTTGGAGAGTGTTTACTACAGACCCAGGATACAATCCTAAGAAAAGATCTTTATGTGAGCCTCTTCAGACAGACCCAAGCCTGGCAGATTTGATGCAGAAGCACCCTTCAAAGTCAAAATTATTCCACTGCTTCTTCCCGGTTCCTGAAGGAAATAATTTATCTTTCACTTGTACTTGTCTGAGTCGCTCTGCCTGATGTATAGTCTGGGGGGAGTCCCATAAGGCAGATACATAGAAGCCAAAGGTGGGTTTGTTCCTTCTCCACTAGCTCTTTAAACACAGTAACCGTGCGTGTTCTCCTGTTACTGTGTACCCAGGCCAAATATCCTGACAGCCAATACAGAGTTTCAAGGGAAGATTTTTTGGGGTTGTTTTTCATCCTTCTTCCTCATTTGCACAGGAAGATAACTTTTTAAAAATGTGTGCAGGGATAAACAAGGGATAACAGCTTTAAACTGACAAAGGAGAGATCTGGATTAGACATTAGGCAGAAGTTCTTCCCTGTGAGGGTGCTGAGGCGCTGGCACAGGTTGCATAGAGAAGCTGTGTCTGCCCCATCCCTGGCAGTGTTCAAGACCAGGTTGGACGGGGCTTGGAGCAACCTGCTCTAGTGGAAGGTGTCCCTGCCCATGGCAGGGGGGCTGGAACTAGGTGATCTTTAAAGTCCCTTCCAACCCAAACCACTCTGTGATTCTATAATCCAAATCACACTTTAATCCATGGTAATATAATTTTAGGAAAAACAGACTAAACTCAAAACTCAGTTCAGTGACAATTTAATTGGTGATTAAAATACTCTTAGTTAGACCCATTCTTTAGTCAAGGCAATATTCCATTCCTCAAGCCATTTTAAACACAGTTTCTTCAGTACCACAAAGGTACCCAGGTTTTTTCTGTACGTCATTGGCCAAAACTGAGTAAGCTGCTTAATCAAATGCATTTTTATGTATGGCCCACTCCATTTTCCCTGTCTACACTATTAACTCTTAGGGACTCCTTGTACATTAGTTAGAGTACAGTTTTCTCTCTGTATCATCTACATTGTCTTTCAGTGACCGAACCTGTGTTTTCTAAAGCATTGCCTGAGCTGCACTGTGATTTTTCTCTTTACAGATGTTAAACTGACAGCTCCAGAATTGGAGCTTGATGTTAGCTTCTGAAGTAACAGTCATCCTACTCCTCAGAAAAATATCTTGTCAAAAAAATTCTAAACGTAAAAGCTTTTAGTACTTTGTCTTCTTTATACTTTCCATCATGGTGGAGAATAGTTTTTAAAAGCAGTTTCTGGTAGCTGTTACTATGATTTCAGACCAATTCCTCAGCTGGTGTGAATCACCCCTGGCTTCTCTGGCTTGAGTGCAGCAGGGCCAACTTATATCAGCTGTGAGTGGATTCTACGCCTTTCAAGTGGAGCTTTAGGATGGATCTGTGAGTGTAATTTGGGTGCCAGGAGGGGCATTTGTAAAAACTTTGGCAGAGGGTATTTCAGACTAGACTACAGAAGCCCATGCTGAGAGTTTGAGGCTCATCTGAAATGCACTGCCTCAGTGCATCTACTAGATACAGTAAGGATGTGTCTCAACAGCTTGAGCTGAGGACTCGTACTCCCACGCTGAGAGATGTCACTTTACCAGATTTGTGGATTGAGAACAGAAGGGAATGGCTAGCACCTAACGTTTACCAGGCTACGTGTGCACCATGCATTATTCCTCCCATGTTTGTAATGACTGGAAGAATGCTAGAAAGAATCTCTTTATTGTTTCCCTGAAAAAAAGGACCTATGAAAGATGAATTGGAAGTGAGAAGCATATGTTGTGTCATCTTTGCATAATTTTTGGCAATTGTAAATAAGAAAAACAAGCATAGGGCAGACTGTTTATATGAAGTTAGACTGGATCACATCTTGTGCTTCTTCATGATGATACTGTGCATCTTCAGTGCAGAAAGCAAATGACTAGTAAAACAGAGTACAATGGGGTGGTAGTGGTCATGGAACTGCCTGTGGTCCTGCCCAACACAGAAATTGCTTTCATCTGCAGTGCACAAGCCTCTGGTCACAACATTATGATAATGGGCCTGATGTTAAGAAGTGCCGAACACTTTTAACTTAATCAGACATCTATGGGGTTGGTTTGTTTTGGTTCCGCCCCCCCCCCCCCCCCGAAATCCTCACAATTAATGCTTTATATAGTTATTGTTGCTTGAGAGGGAAGATTTTTTCCAAATTATCTCAACAAATGTAGAAGTCACAAAACTCATGGTTTATGGAACCTTTAAACACCCCTTTAATCATCAGGGCCTGAATCAGTTTAGCCATGTCCTCTCTAAAAGCCATTACAATATTCCTACCTGCCATTACATAAAACATTAGTCTCATTTGGTACAGGAACCGGTATCATACAGGTTTGATTTTAAGTACAGGAGCCTTTGCAAACAGATGAAAAATTATTTTAATGATGAAAAAAAAAAGGAGAGGAAAAAATTCAACACCAATGTCAAGGCAAAAAGTAACATTTTCTTCATCCTACTCAGGTTCAGACCGTACCAGGTTTTTTGTTAGATTTTTACTTCTTTAAGGTACCGTGAGCTCATTCAGCAAATATTGTTATTGGTGCAAAACATACTGATATACCTGTGCTTTGTAACGCATGGAGATGCATTTGAAGTACAGGTGTGTGCACATTGTATAGGTAATAGTTTAGGAAGTGCCAACACATCGTTGCTTTTAGACTCAGCAGGCAATACTGGTCTGATCCTG